TTATAATATTAGTTCTGGGCACCCATTCATGCTTCTTTAAAACTTAAGTCTTATTTAATATTCACTAACATGATATATTTTATTTATTTATTTATTATTAGGTCTTTCCACCTTTCTGTGGAAAGACCTATTGATTTTCTTCTGTTTATTAGGTCTTTCCACCTTTCTGTGGAAAGACCTCTTGAAATGCTTATGTTTATTATTATTATTATTATTATTATTATTCTTTTTCTTCCCGGACTTTTGAAACCGCAAGACTTATCAAAAAACTTTATAGTTCATGATACTGGATATCAAAAGTTATTCCGAAAAACGACCCCCCATGTTTGACCTATGACCTCTTACAAAGTTATTGCCCCTTTCGCAAGAATAGCTTGTTATCGCTACTCCTTTGAAACCGTAAACCATAGAGGTATGGAATCTTCACAAATGTCTTCAACTAATTGAGGGGACTCTTCAATCTTTTCATTGCGAAAGTATTCGTCAACCCCTTTTATGAGTTATTGCCCCTGAAAGTTTTTGATGTTTACGAATAATTAAAAATTTTCAAAACGATAAGTCGTAGAGACATGGGACCAACTGCATAAGATTCATTGACCTTTGACCTTAAAATATATGCAAAGGTCAAAGGTCAAGGTCATTCAAAATATGAGAAATTAAGCTGTTTTTATATCTCTTTTATCTTTCAACATATACTAAACATCTTTGCATCATTAATATGTCCTCTTAAAACTATTTCAAAGATTTCATACTTGTCCCCTAAGATTTACTCCTTTAAAAGTTATTGCCCCTTTTACTGAAAACCTTGTTATCGCTACTCCTCCAAAACCGTAAACTGTAGAGGCACAAAACCTTCACTAATGTCTTCAGGATCTTTAGATACAACTTCAATCTTTTCGGTGCAAAAGTATCCGATAACCCCTTATATGAGTTATCGCCCTTTAACATCTTTGCGCTTACTATTAAACCTTATAACTTTAAAACTAAAAGTCGTAGAAGCATGGGGTCAAGTGCAATGTGACCCTTGACCTTTGACCTTCAATTTGTGGTAAAGGTCAAAGGTCAAGGTCATTTCAAAATTTTGAAAATTTTCATTTTTTCTATCTTTCAAGCCATTTATGGATTCTTTTTGTATAAAAATTAACTTTAGAGAGTAAAATATGAAAAATATATGAAATTTAAAGAAGGTGGAAAGACCTCTAATTGTTCGAGAACAATTAGTCTACTAGTTATTATTATTATTCTTCTTCTTCTTATTATTATTTTTCTTCCGCTGATTTTTTGTTTCGACATTTATCGAAAAGATTTTTTGTTCATCGTAAAGGTCATAAAAAGTTATGAACAAATTTGACCCAACGCATATAACCTATGACCTCTTTCGCAGTTATTGCCCCTTTCGCTAGAAACCTTGTTATCGCTACTCCTCTGAAACCGTAAACCATAGAGGTACGAAACCTTCACCAATGTCTTCGACTAATTGAGGAGACTCTTCAATCTATTCATTACGAAAGGATTCGTTGAGCCCTTTTATGAGTTATTGCCCCTGAAAGTTTTTGAAGTTTACAAATAATGAAAAATTTTCAAAACGATAAGTCGTAGAGACATGAAACTAACTGCATTAGATTCCTTAACCCTAGACCTTGAAGTTTATGTCAAGGTCAAAGGTCAAGGTCATTCCAAATAAGAGAAATAAAGCTCTTTTTATAGCTCTTTTGTCTTTCAACATATACAGTATATCTTTGCATCTTTAATATGTACTTTTAAAACTATTTCAAAGATTTCAATCTTGTCCCCTTGGCTTAACCCTTTTAAAAGTTATTGCCCCTTGTGCGAAAAACCTTGTTATCGCTACTCCTCTGAAACCGTAAACCGCAGAGACACGAAACCTTCACTAATGTCTTCAGGGTCTTTAGACACAACTTCAATCTATTCAGTGCGAAAGTATCCGATGACCCCTTATATGAGTTATCGCCCTTTAACTTCTTTGCGCTTACTAGTAAACCTTATAACTTTAAAGCTAAAAGTCGTAGAAGCATGGGGTTAATTGTAATGTGACCCTTGGCCTTTGACCTTGAATATTTGTTCAAGGTCAAAGGTCAGGGTCATTTCAAAATTTTTAAATTTTCATTTTTTTCATCTCTCAAGCCATTTCTGGTTTCTTTTGTATAAAAATAAAGAGTAGAGAGTTAAATATGAAGAATATATGAAATTTAAAGGTGGAAAGACCTCTAATTGTTCGAGAACAATTAGTCTACTAGTTTTTTTTTGGTTGCTTTTTAGGTGTTTTACATTAATCAACACTAGTAACATTGCAGCAAGATTTATATATGCACCATCCAGTACATGAAATCTATGCAGAATAGATATCCCATATACATATGCACATGTATTTCTCAGCCCACCCCAATCTTTTTTGATCAGTTTCAATTGTCAATATCCCTTATTTATGTAGCAATATACACTTATCACCTGCATATGGAGTTTATGTCTCCCAGTTGATTTGATACACAAGAGCATGCTCTACATACAAACAATTTTTAAAATAAGGCAAGCTTTTGACAAACAAGTTTATAAAACAAGGATATCAACAGTCTTGTTAAAAGTCAACATTATGCCAATTCTATGGTCAATATCAATGACCTTGTCAGCAAATACAATTTATCATTAAGTTCAGTTCTGATTGACATTTATCAAACAAATTGTTAGGCTATTATTCACACACTTAATTGTCTACAGATTTTTCCATTTGCCTGATCATGACAAGCACACGGTGAAAGTGACCAGTTGACAGGGAATGCTTGCTGCTCCATGGCACCTGATCCCACCTCTGATGTTTTTTGAGGTCAATGTTTGCTCTGCTCCCAATCTGTATTGTTTTAATGGACTTTTCAGCTTGATTACTGTTTGTTATCTATAAATATTTCACTGTTCACTTCTTTTTTTTTTGAGAAGATGCATCCCTTCCAGCTGCAGAACTATATTTTAGTCTTTGACCATACCGCTTCAGATCCTGAAATGCAAATATGATGCAATTTACTGCACAACATTTTCTGTGGTTGTGGAGAATTTCTCCCCTTTCCAGCATTGGTAAATCAACTACCTTTCACTCCCTAATTCTAGACATATTCTTTAACCAAACTGTATATTTTATCCACCTCTTAACCCTTTACAGTTGTATCTACAGACCAATAAACTTGATTGTTTTGAATTTTCTGACATCTGACAAAAAATTCAAAACAATCAAGTTTATTGGTCTGTAGAGACAACTATAAAAGGTTAGGATGTGGATAAAATATACAGGTTGGTTATAGAGTATGTTTAGAATTAGGGAATGAAAGATCGTCAATTGATCAATGCTAGAAAGTGGAGAAATTCTCCCCAACCATGCACAGAAAATATTGCGCCATAAATTGCACCACTTTTGCATCACCAGATCTGTAGAGTTATGGTCAAAGACTTAAATGTAAAACCTTAACGCTACAGTTCTGCAGCTATACATATATACCTTTGTGTGAATAAATATAAATCCTCTTTAAGCAAGAATGCTTTATGCCATGTTTAGTTGAAAATGGTTCAGTAGCTTTGAAAAAGACATCAAGTGAAAAAGATAGCCGTCAGGCACTTATTTTGTATATTGGGTCACCCCCTTCTTTTTTCCCTAGTAGAAAAGAAGAGGGTGACCCTATAAATGAAACAAGTACCTGTGAGACAAACGTAGGACAAATGTTGGCTCAGGTTAGCTTAAAAACATGAAAATTCTGGTTAAGCCTTAGGTATTACATGTAAAGTTATTCTCCTTTGGCTTTTGCCAAAATTCAAACATAGATATTACCAAGAACATATACACCTCCCTGCAGATAAACATTACCAAGGGCTTAAGCACTACCCATCTGTTCTGGTTGTAAGCTAGGGATACTGATAATCGCTCAGGCGTAGTCTAAAGGCTAATAAGTCAAAAGGGGGGGGGGGGGGGTGCAGAGCATATCAATTTGCAGGAATGAATATTATCAGATTATTGCTAATTTATAACGTTAACTTTTAAAAATACGTACTGTGCCACTTTAAAGGAAACAGTTTACCTTGGATTAATGATAGTCTTTGAAATGTCTGTCATTCTTTTGATTCTTTATTTTTGATTTTTTTTCCTAAATTGAAGTATCCCTCTCTCTAAAAATTACGACACACCGGAAGTGCAGACAAAGCGAGTTCGAAACATTCCCGCGAAAAAAAAAATGATGGGAGAAAGAATGGAATAGTCCATTTTTCAGGGGAGCGAAATCTAATAAATCGTCAGAGATGCCTATATTTTAATTTTTATTAGCTTTTTTTGGAATCTTTTATTTATTTTTGAAGATAAAACATTTTCTCTTATTTTTTACTTCTGTTATTTAGGATTATTTTCTTTTTCAATTCCCTTGTGAGAGAAATCACCCCTAACACCTCCAATGAATTCGTCTGCAGAGTTGCACTTTTGACGCATGGAAAGGTATGACAAAAAATTGAATCTGAAAACGGATCAGGTTTGTTGATATTTGAAGATAATTGCATTTGTTCTAATGTTTATGACATTGTGGGTAAATGCCATCTGAAATCAGAAAAGGGTTGAAGAAAAAAATAACTGTTGAGCAATGTTGACGGACACTTGTTGCACCATGCCTTGAGTCCACATTTTTTTTTTTTTGTTAAGCATTTGTAAGTACAATTCAAGTTTGCTGCGAGTCAGTGTGGATTTGTGAAATAACATAAAATAATATTTTTCTTAGACTTCAGAGGACAAGATCGCCAGATAAACTGGTTCTTAATGATAAGTGAACAGTGAATTATCTAGCCAAACCAGATCCATAAATGCCACTATTATAACTAGAGTTTAAATGTGTAGAATTGAATAAGTTTAACTTAAATTAATAAAAGTTGGTATGTATCTGAAAATATAAATTGCTACATATTTGTCAGATACAGATGCTCATGAAGACAATTTTATTTCTAGACTAAGTTGCACTATGGAAGATGATGATGTGAGAGATGTTCTCCAGACAATGCTGGCTAGTTGTAGGAGTCTGTCTCCTAAGCTGGCAGGGCTGATCAGGCGATTCAAGGCTGTGACAACCTTGCTGTTGATGAGAAAGGACTCAGCTTTATCGGACCTTGACAAATACACCAAGACTCTTAGGAGCTGGGTGGATGATTTTGATGAAAAAATGAGATCTGCAATACAGTTAGCATTCTCGGGTATTATTTTAGGCGACATATTAATTTCAAAAGCACTTTTCACAATTGTACTAGGTAGTATTTTCAAGTGTTGTTGTATTGTGTAATTGTTTAAAGAAGCCCAATCTGATATATACAGCTTTAAAAATTTATATTATAAGGGGGGTTGCAACTGTGGTGGTCAGATGGGTTCGATTGCCAGTGGCGAAATAGCTCAGTTTGTAGAGCACCTGACTGGAGATTCAGGGGGCCAGGGTTTAAATCCAAGTCTAGTCCATCATTTTTTTTCTCTACTTTTATTATTACATGTACTTGTATTTTGCAATCTAGGAATTTTCAATTATGCACAATGTTGTTTTTTTTTGTTTTTTTTTTAAAAAAAAAAAAAACTTTATTTGAAACAATTAAGTTAGAAATGAACTACCAGCACTGGGTACATGAATATTTTATCATATTTTTGAACTGAATACCTAAAAATGAGACTGGATATATTATCATTCCAATGACAGCATGACACTTTGTTTGATGGAGCATCCTAAAGTTTCAATTGTTGATCACTATATTTCTCATCAATTGGATGTGTGATATCTATTTTAAATGAATACTACTTCGCATATGAAACAGAGATACACTGATAATACTGACCAATCACATTGGATGATTGTTTACGAGTATGGCATTTGTAATAATCAGCAACATGTGTTCAGTCAAAGCCTATTGCTGGCTTCTCTGTTTATATTCAAAATAGTAATCTTTTCATTTAAATCAAACACCGAATCAGTGAGAAATATGGTAATTAACTTTGAAACTTTAGCACTTAAACAAAGAGACACGTACCGGTATTACAAATGCCCTACTCATAAACAATCATTCTGTGAGATTGGTCAGTATTACCAGTGCATTGCTGGGTTCTCTGTTTTCATATGCAAATATGGTAATCAACATTTGAAACTTTAGCTATAAACAAAGTGACACACTGTTATTGTAATGATATCAGAAATATCAAAACCATAAGCTTATGATTTTTTACACAGTAAATAATTCCTTTATTAGAGAAAGCTGCAATCGTTAGAGCGTACAAGGAAGAGGTAGAGGAGGAGTTGTCTACCCTTGGTGTCCTTTTAAGGGAGTCTGAAAAACTTCTCTTGACATCATCAAACTTTAATGCTACCCAGAACAAACATGGAAAAACTCTTGTCACTGCCTTAAAGTGAGTACACACAGTTTGTGAATTTTTTGTCAACTTTCACTTTTTAGAACAGGCCTGGAAGTTTGAGCGAGCTTTTTCTGATCAATTTCTCTATCGTGTCAGTCCATCTGTAAACTTTAAACATTTTTAACTTCTTCTCAAGAACCACTGTACCAACATCAACCAATATTGCAACAAAGCATCCTTGGGTGAAGGGATTCAAAATTATTCAAATGAAGAGCTAAGTCCTCTCTTAAAGGGAGATGCACAAGAATAAAGAAAAATTTTGTTGTCATCTTTTAAAAATCTTCCCAAGAACGAATGGGCGTAACTTGCGTAAAAGTGTACTGACATAGTGTATGTTCAAAGGGGGAGTTTCGATAAGGCCGTTTTTGGCCCCTCACGAGATATTATGAAATTTTAATATTTTATGTTGCGCATTTTCCGGTCACATGATAGTTGAAAATTTAAGCATATCCCATTTCGCATATTTTTGGAGTAGACTTTTTTATAGGGGGAAAGTGAATTTTTAACTGTCAAAGTCGTAAATGAAATAGAATAAATATGAATAAAAACATAAATTAAGCAGTTTCAACATTTATTTTAACAGAAAATGGTATTTGTTTTATGCGAATATTTTCATAAGGTGCGATATTTTTGAATATTTTCAGAAGGTGCGATATTTTTCTGGTGCGTTACATGTTACTTTTCTTTAATGAGGATGAATTTAACTTATAAAACGTAAACATATATACAGAAAGTTAAAAAATCAAAATTAATGGACAGTTTATGCATAAACTTTATAATCAATATACAACATTTTCCCATATGGAAAATGTAAATGAAAAGGTATGTAGACATGAGATAGGTAAACGTCAAAATGTTCATATACAGGTATGTGCAATATATTTTCATCAATGCGGTTAAACAACAACGTTTTATAAAAAAAATACCTTAATATCATCAAATGAATTTTAAAAAATGTTTTGAAATAAAAAGAAAAATTGATACGATTAAAAATAAAATGCAGCTATATATACATACATAAATTAAAAAGTTTATTTAAAAGCATCATATTGCTATGGAAGCCAGTAGGTACAAGGTAAGAAAAATAATTTATCTGGCGGCTGCCAAATAATTATTCGAGGGCCTCTAGAAAAATGTATCTGGCAGCTGCATATAGTTTTCTGCGGCCACCACATAAATAACTGACGGCGGCCAATAACTTATCCGGCCATTTATAATTTTCTGGCAGCCACCACATAAATAGCTAGAGGCCGCCAAATACCATATAAGTAGAAATTTTAGCAAGGATTCCATTTTGGCATTATTAGCCAGGGTTTTGAGATCGCTAAAATTGAATATCGCTAACAATTTATTCCTTATCGGCCATTATATCTATCTTTCTTGACATTTTAAAATCGCTAAAATTACTTAATGTTTAAATATATATATATACCAGAATGGGAGATAAATCGCTAAATTTGCGTATCGCTAAAAATTCCACATATATAGTAAGTTTCTAGCAGTGTAGACATGTAATATAATAAAAAATTAATTTGAGGGAAAAGGTAACGTTATGAAAAGAAAATTTTGGTATAAGAGTGAAATTACCAGATTTGATCAAAACAGAAGTTGTAGTTAAAGCAAAAACACTACAATTTTATCTGGCTGCCGGCACATATTTCAATGGCAGGCATTACAAACTTATCTGGCGGCCACCAGTTAATATATTTTTTACCTTACACCTACTGGCTTCCCTATATTGCAATGTATTTGATAATATCAATAATATTAATTACAGTCAAAATATTTTATTATGATACGTAAAAATGTGAATAGCCAAATGATAGAAAAACCTAAAATACATTGTTTTCTTTTCATTATGAAAGTTACAAGTATTTGCTCAAATAGATCCAGTGCTCCAAGTTGCGACTAAAATGGTCTCATTTGCGACCAAAAAATTAATTTTGCAACCGGATACATGTATTAAAACTAACTCGCATTTTTGCAACTGAGAAAATTGGGACTGGCGATTGTCATTTTTTATGATCGGGATCAAGATTACTTTTTTTTACAAGATTCTCTATCAAGAAAATGTTTGAAGCCATTCTTAAGACTTTGTTAAGCATCGCAAAGACTGAGATTAAGTAATGATATGCCAGCATGCTGTACAGTCATCAGAACGGCTGTCAAAATGTCGTATTTTTTTTAAAACCTGATCTTGTTAATGGAGCATTTGGTCAATATTGCTTGAATATCATCATGTTTTGGCAATATGGACAACAACTGTTTAATATGTTAGGTTCATAAAATAAACATAACAAACAGCTGACGAAGTCAGATCTCACTAGTTCAAATTTATACATGCATCAGTCAAACTTGCTGCAATTTCATTTGAATTAATTTTAATTCTAGGATAAAACACTTGTGTTCTTGATTGTACAACCATACTGGTGGTTCTATGAACTAATCATTCATAAGTGGTTTCTTCAGCCTAGCAAATTGTTAAGTCACAGTAATAAGTATAATCTTTGATAAATTTAAAAAAGACATGATACGTACATATATGAGTGTTGTTCCTTGCTTTTACTATATGCTATATGTAAATGTGTTTTCACAAAATTTTTTCACCATGGTGAGTGAAATATTCGTTGATGGCGACCAGAAATTCTGAAATGGCGACCAAAAAAATTTTTAGGTTGCCATTTAGCAACCTGGTAGGAAGTGTGACTTGGAGCACTGAGATCTGCATTATGTTTTCAGCATAACTGACAGAATCCCAGCCAGGACTAATTTCCTCTCGTTTCCCAACTCTTCATAGATACTTAAGTTGCTGTACCAACTCTTAGTCACTTCTCATTTAGAGAGTAGTAGAATTCATTACATATGATTTGCTAGGCTAGAACCACAGTTCGAAAAACATATGTAAACACCAAAGACATGTTAAATTCTTAATCCTGCACAAATATGCGCCTCAATATCCAGACTTAAAACAATCCACGTTCCCTATATGAACCACACGGAGAAATTTGGGGGCTTCTCTAGCATTTTGGAGCATGGATTTCGAAGAAAGTGTAAAATAACTATGCATGACAGGGGTGTGTAATTAGCAACGCCCGGGGCTACCATTTTTTGGGATCGGGCTAGTTGATCTCTGCATGCAGGTAGCCCCTTGGGCTAGTAAAAATTAAAAATACCAATGTTATAAATGAAAATCACTACCGGTATTTTCACTTATTTTTTGCTATTAAATTCCCAACCAATGAAAAATTTCCAGGCAGAATGCTCCTATTGTTCGTAAATCTCCATAATCTTATCCATTTTGCAGCACTTCCTGACTTATTTACTTCCAAAAACCCTGACTTATTTACTTCCAAAAACGATCGTTTTTTTTTTTTCCTAATCCGAATTTCCTCCATTCATGTGTTTATGGTAAATAAAGGCAGATATCTATTATTTACGATCACTCAATCAACTAAAAGATAAGTATTATGTGATTTACGTGTACATAAAATATATTTCCAGTGTATTTAATAATTTAAGATAAAAAAAAAGATTCCACTTCGTTTCAGATGAGCTAGTGCAATATGCACAGAGAAAAGGAAAAAAAAATAATTTATTTAAATTCATTTTTATTTTCTATCATAATTATTAATTTATACATGATTCAATTTTACTAGTGAGAATAAAACTTTAATTTTAAAAAGAATTACCTTAAACCCCTGACTTATTCAACAATAATTTATTTTTTCGTAGTTGTTACTTTTCCCACCTACATTTGGGCTAGTAACTTTTTACTTGGGGCTAGTAACTTTATTGCTGCCACTAGCCCCTTGGCTAGTACTTGATTTTTTTTAATTGCACACCCCTGCATGATAAATAATGTTAAGGGATGGACTTGCTCAAAAACTTATTTTTCTTCAATCAGTCTGAAATTTAAAGAAGATCCAGCATCTGAACCATGTCTGGTATTGTGCAATCCTAGATGCATCATCACTCATCAGTGCAAGTTTGGTCACGATAGGACTTATAGTTACATAAGAATAAGACCCGCTTCAAATTCTTTAACCTGCTCACTCATTAAGAAAATGTAGGTCAGATCCAGCATCTGAAGCAAGTCTGGTAGTGTACATCCGAAGATGCATCATGAAGCAATCAAGTCTTATCAACATATTTATTGCTGCTCTGCTCCAAAAATCTTAAACCTGCTTCAAAAACATTTACCTTGACATTTTTTACCTGAAAATGCAGCATCTGAAACCTGACTGGTGACAAGAAAACACACTAGATCACGTGATTCTTATTGATATAGAGCAAGGATATACTTGAAAAAAAAATCTGCTTCAAAAACTTTAACCTGGAACACCAATGCCGACGGTATTACAAAAGCTCTCCAACTCCGTGGAGGTGAGGTAAAAATGTGACGTTAACGTTATACGCTGGTGACGAAAAAAGTATCGAAAAGAAGATAGTATACTTCAATGTTTTCTATTGTTAATATTTTCGAGAATCTTCTTAAATTTAAAAAAAATGCTACTTTTGTATTTTAACACAGAGTCAGATCAAGAAACTAGGAGCTTCCAATTTTAGATATATGCAAATTTTATGCAATTTTCAATTTTTAGCTCACCTCGATGAAGTCGAGATGAGCTTAAGCTATACCCCCGGCGTCAGTGTCGGCGTTAGCGTCGGCGTCCCGGTTAAAGTTTTAGGAGCAAGTCCATTCCCAAGTAACTATAAGCCCTAACTGGACCAAACTTGCATGGATGATGCATCTAGGGATGGACACTACCACACTTGCTTCGGATGCTGGATCTGACCTAGATTTTCCAGTTGAGTGACCAGGTTAAAGTTTTTGGAGCAGGTCCATTCCCAAGTAACTGTTAGCCCTACCTGGACCAAACTTGCATGGATGATGCATCTAGGGATGGACACTACCACACTTGCTTCAGAAGCTGGATCTGACCTAGATTTTCCAGATAAGTGACCAGGTTAAAGTTTTTGGAGCAGGTCCATTCCCAAGTAACTATTAGCCCTAACTGGACCAAACTTACATGGATGATGCATCTAGGGATGGACACTACCACACTTGCTTCGGATGCTGGATCCGATCTAGATTTTCTAGATGAGTGACCAGGTTAAAGTTTTTGGAGCAGGTCCATTCCCAAGTAACTATAAGCCCTAACTGGACCAAACTTGCATGGATGATGCATCTAGGGATGGACACTACCACACTTGCTTGGGATGCTGGATCTGACCTAGATTTTCCAGATGAGTGACCAGGTTGAAGTTTTTGGAGCATGTCCATTCCCAAGTGACTGTTGGCCCTACCAGGACCAAACTTGCATGGAAGATGCATCTAGGGATGGACACTACCACACTTGCTTCGGATGCTGGATCTGACTAGATTTTCCAGATGAGTGACCAGGTTAAAGTTTTTGGAGCAGGTCCATTCCCAAGTAACTATAAGCTCTACCTTGAACAAACTTGCATGGATGATGCATCTAGGGATGGACACTACCACACTTGCTTCGGATGCTGGATTCGACCTAGATTTTCCACATGAGTGAATTTTAGCCATATTTTAACCAAATTAGCATGGATGATGTAGATAGGGATGGTCACTTCCAGACTTCCCTTGGATTCTGAATCTGACCTACATTTTCCAGATGAGTGACGAGGATAATATTTTTGGAGTAGCTATATAACATTATGGCCTGTTATGATTAAACTTGCATAGATGGTGCATCTAAGGATGAAAACTTCCAGACTTACTTTGGATGTTGGAACTGACCAAAATTTTTTTGATTAGTAAACAGGATAAACGTTTTTTGAACAGGTCTATTTCCAAGTAACTATAAGTCGTACTTAAACCAAACTTGCATGGACATTGATCTTGGGATGTACACTAAATAAAAAAAAATATGACGTGATATTTGCATTACTTAAAGATAACATTTGTCGAGGTGAGCCTCGTAATCTTTGATTACCTGTGTTTAAATATGAAGTGCACACACAAAACTCATCATATTTCAATATATTATTGTGCAGAGTATATCTGATTACTGAGCAAATTTAGGTGAGTGTCCCTCATGCACTTCATATTTTAAACATCGATTTATCAATGCTACCCTCTTATATTTTCCCATAAGGCTAATGTTAATGCATCTGAAGGTGAATCTAGGTATGTGTCAGCTATGGTGTTAATACATCTCATATTAACTTTTAAAATATAAATAACAAAAGTTAACATATTTTTCTAGAATTCTAAACAAATTTTGAAAAAATAAATTGAAATTTATTTTAATGAAAAAAGGTGGGCTGCTGAGCTGCCTTATCGAAACTCGATCCCCTTTGTTCAAATCATAGGCCCCAGGGATATGATGGGACCACAATAAAAGATCAAATTTTTATAAGCATTCTCAGGTTGTGCAGAATCAAGTTTGGACTTAAAAAAAATGTGTGGGTTTCCGGTAACCTGATCGACCCTAATTTTTATTCCAAATTCATTGCAAATAACACTTTAAACCTTAGGGGCCATGTGGGCCCCCAACTTTACAAGTTTTACTAGCCCACATTGATATTTTGGGGCCACAGTTTTCTGTTCACTTAGTTTTAAAAATTTTTGGATCTTTTCTTATAATCTCAGAGAAAAATACTTTGTTGTCCACAGTCTTGTATGAAATTTTGTGTTTCATTCACTTCAAGACATGTATTTTGAATTATATGTTTCTATTGTGAAATTATAGCGTGCTTTACTGACTTTTTAAAGTACATAACATGAAATATAGGAATGGGTATTGCCAAAATTTTTCGTATCGTGATCTATCATGATTTTTTCCCAAAATATCACAATAATATCATAATATTTTTACACACAATTTTTACAATGATTTTAAATGAATATCCTTAATTTTTCCTAAAAATGTGCTGTAAAAACATAACTCCACTTTTTTCATCTTTTTATTTATTGGGCCCCCACCTCCCCCTCTAGATCCGCACATATATACAGAATTACAGTATAGTGGGAAGAACATCTTTAAAAACTTTTCTGAAAAAATTTGACCATTGTGACTCAGGTGAACATTATGGCCAAAGGGCCTCTAATTTAATTTATGTTTCTTAACAGAATGATGAAAACAACAGGTCTTCTGGAAACCCGAGATGTAGATGATAACCTTTCCTGTTTAAAACTATTCACCCAGTTTGATTGTGAAAATTTGCCAGTACTTGGACAATTGATCACAAACTACTCACCAGATAAAATCAAACAAGATGATGTGGTTGTAAATCTCTCATCAAATACAAGCTCAACAACAAAAGTAAATTCTTCAGAAAATAAAAATATTAAAGAAAAATGTGCTATTACATCAACATCCACCCAGACAGATTTTGTTATGCCTGAGAAAGAAGGAAGTTTAGAGTCAAGCACAGTTAAAAGCAAGAGGAGCAAAAGTTGTCAAAGATCAAACGTGCAAAGGTCATTTATTGTTCAAGAGAATCAGAGGTTTATCATTAGTCAGCTAGAGAAAGGTGGTATCAGCAAAAACACCACAAGAAGTCCCTCCGTTTCTTCTGTTGATTCTGAAACAACAGCCTCTGTAGATGCCAGTGTTAAAGAGAATAAGTCAAGGAGAAGGCCAGTTGTCAGATCTTCATCTCTTAAATCGGACCGCAATCAGTCAACTCAAAAGTCTGTCTCAAAAACAGAAGACTGGATCAAAGACAGTGCAAACAATAATTCAAAAGATGATATCAACATACGTACAAGATCACCTGTCCATGGAACATCTTTCAAGAAGAATTCAGACAGGAAAGAAAATTTGAATGACAATGTGCAAGCAAATAAACATTTGAAAAATAAGGAAGGCTTCCACAATCCCAGAACCATGACTTTGTCACCTGAGAGAGCACACTTGTTTAAAGAGGTGGAAAATATGCCAAAAGAGGACAAAATTGGAACATCAGCAAGAAATAAAGATTCATCGAATCAAATACAATTGTCACCTTCTAAAAGTGCATCAGAAGGCATTAGTTCAAGTAAAGATGAAATGAATCAGAATATCACAGAAAACAAATCTTACTCGGGTAAACAAAAGTCAAACTTGACCAGGCCAAAAGAAAATGAAACTCAGAAATTGGAGTTGGCAAAGCAAACTCCCACAGACAAGAAGGAATTTTCTAGTAAAAGCACTACCAGCACACCTGTTCCAACTGAAAATGTTACAGTAAAATGTGAACCTATCACACCAGTCGAAGTGAAAATCAAACAAGAACCAGTTACTCCACCAGATCTTAATAACAATCAGTCCATGTTTAATATCCAACAGAGAATTCAAGGACCCTCAATTAAAAAAAGTCCCTCTGTGTCTGAAACAGAGACCTGGGAAAGTGATGAAGAGATCAGAGGAAAGATTGCAGAGAAGAATAGCACAAAAGATGTAATATCAGACAGAACTCAACCACAAGAAAATCTTACAGAGAAAATTTCCCCCCAGAAAGATGTGAACTGTAATGTTATAGACAAGGAACCCATGCCACCTCCCCCAATTCCACCACCATCATTGTTAACTACAAGTACTCGTCCTCCATCTGAAACAGGTGCTCTCCCTCCATCTGAAACAGGTGTTCTCCCTCCATATGAGACAGGTGCTCCCTCTCCATCTGAAACAGGTGCTCCCCCTCTGCCTCCCAATGAACCAAACTCCACAGAAAAAATGGAATCAAACAACAATGAAGTACATGTACCAGTATCAAGCACTGCTGACAAAGATCTAGTTAATGGGAATCAAAATGTTCTGAATACTATGGGTGTAGAAAATAATATAGACTGCCATGTCTCAGATATCCCACTTCCAAAGACTCTAGAGGTACCAAAGAAAATTTCCACTCAAAGTGTGGACTACAAAGATAGTGTCATCACACAGCATATCAGAGAGGAGCTAAGTAAAGGTTTGTTGTGCTATTTACCAAGGTTGTCTTTGCTTAAAAAAATTGTGTTAGCCCCACTTAGATTCCAGGAATTTCACCGATGCACACAAAAGAGTTCCTATTTAGTCCTCCATAAACAGTAGAGGGACCAATCTTGCACACACATGGAACCTTCTGAAGACTTGTTTTAATAAGTTTTGGAAGGCACCCTCACTTTCATTGAATTAAATAGGCAATCTTTTTTTTTTTGACAGTCTGCAGTGATAGTGTCTTTTGTATAGCTGATTCTATGTATGTTTTGTTCTACCACTTTCTCATTTCGAATGCTTTGAAAACTGCCAAAAATTAAGTAAATGCCTTGAAATTTTCCAAATGACATTTATAATATATAGTGAATTTAAAATATAATTTTTACCCAAACTTTTTTCTATTTAACACTTTTATATCAAAATAATACTTGCATATTCACTGATAAAACCCAAAATGTTTGGTTGTTGCTTCATACCCCCTTCACATTCAAGCATAATGAAATCCTTAATTTTGCCTATAATTTAAAAAAATATATTAAGATGTATAGAAATATGATATTTAAACATTTGCTGAAAATTTCAGCTCAGTGTGTGCATTATTTTTCTATAAAAGTGCAATGTCCTTGCTTTTACTGGACAGCCCTCATATAGGATTAATTGCTTCATATATTGATAAATACTGATGTAACGATATGCCTCCTTGAAGATTCTATACATATTGTATAAATTTGTCAAAGTACGGTTATTTTCAATACATTTTGATTAGAGAAAACAAATTGGAGAGGTTTTTAGCTCACCTGAGCTGAAAGCTCAAGTGAGCTTTTCTGCTCACATTTTGTCTGTAGTCCCTCTGTGTATCTGTTTGTCTGTCCATCTGTAAGCTTTTCACATTTCCAACTTCTCAAGAACTACTGGGCCAATTTTAACCAAACTTGCCACAAAGCATCCTTAGGTGAAGGAGATTCAATTTTGTTCAAATGAAGGGCCATGTCCTCTTTCAAGGGGAGATACCTTATTTGGCCGAATATAATACACATTGGTGTAAAATACGCACCCCCCTTTTTGAGCCTCAAACTGGGGAAAAAACGCAGTTCGGTTGTATTATACGCAGCAGAAAATTTTACCAAGTGGTGTTCTGAACTTTTAAAAATCGCGGTAATTTGCTATGAAAATCGGCGGAGATGAAGTGCGGAAAATTTACAGAACACGATATTTTATTCAAATGCGTTCTAAATCTTGACTTTCCATATCGTGGCATTCTGGAGGAAATTATTTATTTTAACAAAGCACGAGATAATGTTGCATAACTTGCATTAAAGTATTAACAGACTTAATTATTAATTATTTTTAGCATACGGTGATATTGAAATCATACGTCGCCGTATTCTAACTATTCTTTGTGGAAATAATTTGATTTCAACAAAGCACGAGATATTGTTGCAAGTTTAACAGTTGTCATATTTATTTTTAGTTTAAGGTAATCATGTTGAAAATTATGTAAATTTAACAAGGCAAGCGATATTGCAATATCAAAGTATTCATAGACTACGATTTTCCTCTTTTGAACTTGAAATTAATTAATTAAATATATAGCTGATGTTATAAAAATAAAATCAAAATTTAACAAGCGTGTAAAGTGTTGTTATCAACACACCTCCAAAGCTGTGAAAAATGATGTACAAAGGTGGGATATATGTCTTCATACATCGAGATAATCTTCGTGGATATCTTATTTTCTACAGAGCACGAGTAAATGATAACACTTAAGTTTCAACATACTTCATATTTCCTTTTTTAACTCTCAATCATTTTAACACGAGGCCGATACATTGTATAAGATAAAGTAAAATTACATTTAACAAGCGTTTAACTGTTTAATGTGTCGTAATCAACACACGCTTATACATACGAAAGATCATAAACCAACCCCCGATTTTTAACAAAGAAAATAATCAAAGCCTTTAATAAGGGCAGTAAATAATCAGTGCTCTAACTGTAAAAACAATGCTTTGGAGTCGGTAAACAATTTAATTGCCTGGAGGGGTGTTGAGGGGTAATTATCAAGTGACAAGTGCACGTGTTCACAACATTGGCTTCCATTCATTGGGACGTACAGAGGGGTGTTTATGTTGAAATGAATTTTCACGGAGTTATTTAAAACCTAAAATAAATTTTATTGTATTTTATTAAAAAATGACTTATTACTTTTTTGACCGAGTGTCTGACTGATTAGGTACATGTGTACGTTAATTAAGGAAGCACGTGGCAAAGGAATGTGTGAACATCTATAAATAACATCTTTAATGGCGGCCTACATGGAGACGATGAACATGCAGCTCAAATTAATTTTAACTTGCTTTTAAATATAATTTAACTATCAAAAAGTTATAAATAAATATAACATTTTTAACAAGCCTACATTCCAACAATAACTTTCCGAAGTTTTAAATACGGCGATAAACAGCAAGAAATTGCATAAGTCTCTATGTAGTACTATGGTATGAGCAAATGATAGCCGTGTTTCACATGAAAGAAAAACCTATCAAAATCCCATTGTGGTGTAAAATACGCACTCTTCTCACAGAAAATTATTTTGGGAAAAAAGTGCGTATTCAGCCAAATACGGTAATTCAGATATAGTGAAAATTTGGTGGTAACTTTTAAAAATCTTCTCATAGGAAACCTTCTTTACATAGTGTAGATTCAAGTTTCTTCAAATGATGACCCCTGGGGTTAGGATGGGGCCACAATGAGGGATCAAAGTTTTACATAGTAATAAATAGGAAAAAAAGGGTGGGGTGGGGTGGGGCCACAATGGGGGATTGTAGTTTTACATGGGATTATATAGGAAAAAACTTTTAAAAATCTTCTCAAGAACAGCAAATCCATGATAAGTCATATTGATATGAAAGCATCCTCAGGTAGTGTAGATTCAAATTTGTTCAAATGATGACCCCAGGGAAAGGGAGGGGCCACAATGGGGGATCGAAGTTTACATTGAAAAATATAGGGAAAAACTTTTAAAAATCTTCTTCTCAAGAACAGCACAGTGTGGGACCACAATGGGGGATCAAAGTTTTACATATATATAGGAAAAAAATCTTGAAATTTCTTCATCTCAAAAACAGCAGAGCCATGATTAGTCTTATCAATATGGAAGCATCTTTAGGTTGTGTAGATTCAACTTTGTTTAAATCTTGACCCCCTCAGGGGTACGGTAGGTCTTCAGTGGGGTATCTAAGTTTTACATAGGACTATATAAGAAAAAACTTTTTAAAAATCTTCTCAAGAACAGAAAATCCATGATTAGTCATATTAATATGGAAGCATTCTCAGGTAGTGTAGATTCAACTTTGTTTAAATCATGAGCCCTGGGGGTAGAAAGGGGCCATAGTGGAGGATCAAAGTTTTTACAAAGGGAAAAAAATTGAAAAACCTTCTCAAAAAGAGCAGAGCCATGATTAGTCATATCAAGATGGAAGCATCTTCAGGTAGTGTAGTTTCAAGTTTGTTTAAATCATGACCGCTGGGGTAGGGAGTGGCTACAGTGGGGTTTGAAACTTTTTAACAAAGGAATAAATAGGAAAAAATCTTCTTCCCAAGAACAGCAAAGCTATGATTAGTCATATAATATATATGGAAGCATCCTCAGGTAGTGTAGATTCAAGTTTGTTTAAATCATGACCCCCCAGGTGAAGGGAGGGCCACAATGGGGAATTTTTTTTTTTTTACAAAGGAATATATAGGAAAAAAATCTTTTTTAAAAATCTTCTGCTCAAGAACAGCAAAGCCATTACTGATATTGATATTGAAGAATCTTCAAAGTGTTAAATTCAAGTCTCCTCCCCCCCTCCCCCCCCCCCTCCCCCCACTCCATGTAAACTTTTCAATGCTGAAATGATTTGTGCTTTTTCCTAGCCAATGTGCTCAGGTGAGCGATTTGACCCATGGGCTTGTTTTTTTTTTTTTTGTCTTGTTTCACAAACAGCTGTTACAGTAAGTTAGGCCACATAACTATAATAATGTTCTCCATAAGAGAAAGCGATTTCTCACCCTCTAATTGTGTCAAATTTGCCCCCTGCTTTCTGTAGTGAACAAACATTTAATTGACAGTATTTTTTATTAAAAAATGATTAAAAGTTATTGCTAAAATAAATCTAAGATCTTGACATGATAGGTTTACTGAGTACCTTTGTATTTTTCTTTTAGGGAAAAGAGGATTTTTTTCTCCCATACGTGCAAAGCTTCTGTTTAAATGTGGCACTGGATACAACATGAAATTTCCAATCGGTGTTACAACGAATAGATTTGGAGAAATCTTTGTAGCTGACACAGGCAATAATGTTATTAAGGTGTTCAGCAAGGAGGGGAAACCTTTAAGATCCATGGGGATATCAGAACCAGTAAGTAATTTGATTATTGTGATTGGTAATGACATTCAATTCTCATGCTTTGTAGGATTTTTTCTTTGATAAATCTTGGGATATAGGTAGTGATGAAACGATTGTCGCCTACAATCGATTGGAGCTCTTCGATGCTACTATTCGATTATGAAACAAAAGTCGCCGACATCGCAAAAAAAAATATTAAGGGTTAATTTGGGTTTAAACTTCAAATTTTATTACCAAAAAATCATTTGCGTACATTTTAAAAAGTTATCCTCAATGTTTAAAACGTAAAAACCTTCTTCACTTTACTTCAACAGTTAAATTGTTGTTGACAATTTTTACCGCCATCATTGAATGTAAGGTCAGGCTAATAACAGGAAATGGCCAGTGTTATGGGTTCTACTATAATCAGAAATACACAAACAGTACAGAAGTTCTATAAACTTAATTATTTTAAAAAGAATTTTACAAGTCCAAATGAAATCAGACAAAGTTTTTCCAAGAAAATAAATAATAAAAGGCGTGACTAATATAAGTAATGTTCCCATTTGTATACATGTATTTATTTTTGTAATGAAGCATCATACAGAAATTTAACTCTTATTTTCAATTTTACTGAGAGAAAATAAAGAATTAGAATACTTTGTCATAAAACAAATTTACTGAAAAAATTATTTTGTTTATTTATATATATTACTGACTTTATTTACTTATTAAACTTTGAATATAGAAGAAGAATATAAATATTGTTTTTGTGATTATGCTTTAACATGTTAAGGAATCTCTTATTTTATTTGAAAGGGTAAAAAACCCGATTATAGCTGATTATCAATCGATTATGTGTTTCCGATTACAACCGATTATCGATAATGATTTTTCTCCGATTATTCAACACTAGATATAGGTAATCTTAAATGAGATTTGGCTTGTGTGGATATTTTGACTGATGCCATCACTGCATCAGGTCAAATAGTCTCTGCTAAGGTAAAGAATAAAAGTACTGTCATAGTATCCATGATATTTATCTGTTAAGAAAGTTTTATATAATGCAAAAAGTAATATGTAGTGGATATCACACATAAAGAACTTGACTACATTAAAAAGGAACCGCTCTTTCATTGTAAACTGCCCTCTAGGTATGAGTTAAAAACAGAGGCTATTCAGAAATAGAAATGATTAATGATTTACCTGAAAATCAGATATTCGAGGAATTTGTGAGACGTCTCTGGGAGTTAGCACATTGATAACCAAATGTATTGTTCCAAATTCATGATTGCAACTGTCTTATAAATTCTAAAGAATTCTATGTGGGAAAATGGAGGGGAAAAAAAGGGGGGGAGGGGAATGAAAATGTACATTTATCCTGAATGATAATATATTGTATTGTAAAATAAGTAAATTTTCCTAATCATTGGAAGTAGTCAAGATTAGTTACGAATATGTTTAATGTAATATTAGATATTGAATGTAATACAGTAGTTACTGATTATCAGAGATAAATATGGTGATTGAAAGGATTGAAATATGCACCAGGCTCGAAGGGCAAAGTAAATTTTTTTTTTGCTTTAGTCATAATGACAATAAAGTATTCCAGTTTTGTGTGGATTCAAATTTGGTGATATTAATAGTTTGCTTGGTAAGGGCCAAAACAGCAAGGACTATAGAGTGATTTCAGTGAATATTGTCTTCTTGTATTATGAAATACTTAGTTTTCAAATATTTTACTAGATGCTGTCAAAGTCAAATTGTCAGAATTACAGAAGCGTATTACCAACTTTAAAGTTGGAAAAGCCAAGATTAAAGTTGGAAAAGCCAACCTTTAAGTTGGAATTACCAACTTTAAAAAAAAATATTACGTGGCACTAATATGCTTCCATAGAATTAATGATTTATCACTTGTGGATACATGTATTGACTTTTTGTAGGTAAAAATGAGGAGACCATCAGCAATAGTAGTAAATGCAAAAGATGAGGTGTTTGTCAAGGATGACAATGCTGTATTTGCTTTCACACCTCAAGGAAAATTCATTAAAGCTTTAGGAGTGAATGCACTTGGTAATCCATTTGGTATGTATGTTTTGTCACTTGGTTTGATTTTTAGCACGTCTGAGCCAAATGCTTGAGTGAGCTTTTCTGATGGAATAGAACCTGGGATCTGTTGTGTGTGTGTGTCTGTATTGTCTGCAATTTTTTTTTACATTTTCAGCTTTTTCTCAAGAACCACTGGGCCAATTTCAACCAAACTTGCCATAAAGCATTTTTGGGTGAAGTGAAATAAGGTTTGTTTAATTGAAGGGCCACGCTGTCTTCCAAGGAGAGATAACAGAGAAATAATGAAAATTTTGTAACATCATATAAAAAATCATCTGAAAATTCCAAGCTAGAAAAGAAGTTAGATGATGTGAAAGCTTCCTTAATGAGTGTACAACTCATGACCTTTGGTAATAAGATAGAGGATCAAAGTTTTGCATAGGAAGTAAGTAATATAGTGGGAAAAATCTTTAAAATATCTTTCTCTCAAGAACAGCTATGCCCTTAGTCATATTAATATGTGAGCATCCCAGGATAGTGCAGATTTGTTTTTTCAAATTTGGCCCCTTGGGGTATGTTGGGGTCACAAAAAGGCATCAAATTTTAACAAAGGAATAAAAAGGAAGGGGCCAAAATTAAATATTAACATTTTACATAGGAACATAATTATATTGAAAAAATAAAATCTTTAAACATCTCAAAAACAACATTGCCTTTATTACTTATAATACTAATGTGGATTTCTTAATATACGTGAGGAGTTTATCATAATTTTGCAAGAAGAACTACTTACAAAATAAAATGTCTTGTTTTTATTTTTATGGCTTCGAGCAGAGCTGGAATGTCATCTAGCCAGCATTCCATTGAAATCACCACCAGAATTTACAAAACTTCCATTTGTCAAAGCAACTCAGATATTAACACCTGCACTAATAATTGACCTGTACATTAGAAATCATCATTGTTTTACATAGATCCATTCTTTGGTTGATAACTGGAAATTACACAAGCGAATTAATCTACATACCAAATCCAGACATTAGGGAAATTTTTGGCTTGTTGGACAAAATTGGATGACCTTGGTGGTTATTGTGTCCTATGGACCTTTTAGCCAGAGGTGCAAGTGTCACTTGAACCAAAGAGAAAATATTCCGAAAAATCTTTTCAAGAACTAGAGGGCAATGATTGGAATTGGATTGAAATTAGAAACATCATCAGGTAGTGCAGATTTAGATTTAGTCAAACCATGGCGGAAGGGTAGGTTTTGGCACAATAGAACAAAGTTTTATAAGGAAATATGTATCCTCTTAATAAAACTAATGTCCAAATAGCTGTATCTCACTTTCATTTTCATTGACCATGTAGTGTAGGGTGGTGCTGATACAGAATTCCATTGGCATAGAAAGCAGGTTTTATTAGACTTGTTTAAATAGCTGAGTAGTCTAGTGCACTGATCCTTCACTGATAGGAGACAGATTCGACTCCAGGTTGGGGCAAGAGTGAGTATCCTTTGAAGCCTATGATCATCAAAACTTGTCAGTTTATGCATCTTGGGACCTTGAAGTGTGTCAACCTAAAAGTAGGTCATGGTGACCTACTTTCTGAATTTCATGGCTTATCATTTTCTAAACATTAAAGGTCATTATACCCCCCGCAAACGAAGTTTAGGGGGGTATATTGGAATCAGCTTGTCCGTCTGTCTGTCTGTCTGTCTGTCTGTAGACGAGATTTTGTCCAGACCATTTCTTGGAAACTGTTACAAGGATTTGTCTGAAAATTTGTACACTTATTCTTTGCCATATGAAGGTGTGCACCTGGTATTTTCTTCATGATTGGATAATTTTTTTGCATTTTACAGGTGTTTTTTTTTTCATTTTTATTATGTGGTTTTGTCCGGATCTGTTCCCAGAGACTATTGCATAGATTTGTATGAAAATTTGTACACTTATTATTTACCATATGAAGATGTGCACCTGGTATTTTCAACATTATTTGATAATTTTTCTGCATTTTACAGGTGTTTTTTTTTCTCCTCCATTTTTATTGACTTAGTCATTTTGGGTTCATGTCTAAGGTTTGAGACATAGAATCTAGAACATCTGTACAAAAAATGTGAACTACAGCTTAAAATTACTCATTAGAAGTAAAAAAAAAAAATCACAAAGTATTAAAAACAGTTTTTACATTACACAGCAGATAGTGTAAATCCATTTGTCCCTTGGGAGTAATGAGTGGACCTGCATCCAGTTAAAGATTAATTAATGAGTTCAGTGTGGGAAGCTGTTAGGGCATCCAGTGATTTTTCTACACCCAATTTAGGTCCGAATATCGGCCCTTTCCCCTATCAAAAATTACCGATTTTTTCCCAATTTCAGTTGCTTTTTCCCCCCAGAAAAACCGTTATTGATTTTGTTACATTGGATTTTTTATGTACGACATCTAAATTGGAACGCTATTGCTCTCCGTCATTCATACTCTTAAAGTAATAGTGAAATACAGCAGATCATTTTGTGCGTTTACAAGACATAGAAAAACACATGGATCATGTCAAGCGTCAAACTAAATACATCGTAAGAAAGTGTAAGATGCATGTGAACAGGCGAAACATAGCTTTATTTGTAAATCCAAGTACTAGTAGTTCTACAACAAGCATCTCTGATTCCATGAAAATCAAACTGTTTCTACACCGTGCAGATGCAACTAATATTCAGGGTAATTGCAGCACAATGATTAGGGTGATTTAGAAAGCTAGAAGAAAAATGATTTGTTTTAAATCATGTCAGATTATATCATCTTCAATGGCTATTAAGAGTAGGATTTTTTCATATGTCTACCATTATGGCAAAAAAAAAAAAAAAAAAAAAAAAAAGAATTGGAATATAGGATGGTCACAACTAATGACAACTTTCAAAGATTAAAACAAAGTTGAAAATGTAGAACTGTGTCTAATTTGTTATTTTGTAGTAAATATTTTGAATAAATGATGTTACATTTACTTATATATTTTATTTTACCTGTCAATTAAGGTTTATTTCAATCTTATTGATTTTTCCCAATTTTACACAAATGTCGATGATTTTTCCCAATTGTAAAGGCCCAGGCCCCTTTTAAAAAATGTAGAAAAATCACTGGCATCTCTGATCAAGCAGGTCTTATCTATATCTCCTGGGAATTGGGCAGAAAGAAATAAAGATCTCTGTTGTTTAAGTCTCTTAATTGTAATTTATGTCTGTCAAAATACATAGTTACTGGAACCAGCCTCTTATTTTTAAAATGAGTTTGATATAAAGGTATTAAGATCAACTTGATTTTGTATAATTAATTATGATATTTTTTTCAACAATCAATTTGCAGAGTGTCATGTCTCACAAAGATGACATATAGTTGCAAACTATTTTTTCAATGTAATAAAAAAACACTGTAATTACTAGCATGTGACTAGTATTGATGTTTTATTAGGCTGCACCTTAGTTTCATTCATTAAAAAAATATGAGTATGTAACAGAGTTGAAAGTGGCTATGCATTGTATATAGTGAGGCCATGCTCCTACTAGCACTAGCTAGTAGGTTAACCCTTTAGCTCAGTCGGTAGAGCGTTGGATTTTAAATCTGAGGGTTGTAGGTTTGAGCCAGAGTGTGGACACCCCTAACTAATCGGTCATAAGAAATTAAATTTTCACTCCAAATGTTTAAACAAATTGTGAACACCTCTCACATCTAGAAAACATTAGTGATTTGGTACCTTCTCTGAAAAACCCAGCGGGGGGTATTTGTCCCTTTTGGACAGTTCTAGTCATTTCAGATACTGAGAGGTTTAGAATCATCAAACCTTATAAGTTGATGCACCTTGGGGCCTTAAAACGTATCAAAAAGAAGGTCACAGTGACTTCTTTTTGAATTTTACAGGAATTCCTTTTCAAATTGTTTTAGAGGCATATTTTGGACACCTTGAAGCATAGGATCAACAAACTTTGTCAGTTGATGCATCTTGAATCCTGGGAGTTTATCAACCAAAATGTAGGTCACCTTGACCTACTTTTGCAATTTCATGGCTTAAGGTAGTATGAGTGTGAGATCAAAGTAATGGAAAACAAATGATTTTGGTATCAATGGATACACATATGTATAAAGGATGCTTGATTATAAAATAAAGAAAAAAGAGTGTAGCCGTTTGCCATCTAGGGGTGTCAAACTAAGGGAGGTAACTCTGTGTAATTTTTTCCTTAAAAATATAGTCCGTCTAACAATTTAAATAAATAAGTCAAATATGATGTAAAATTTTTAAATATTTATTTCTAGTAAACATGTAACATCTGTTCTAACATTTAAAACAATAAAAAAAAATTATAACAATTTCTACACTTTACTCGCAGCGCCACCTATTATGTCTAATTTTGAACAGCAAAATACATAAATTGTGGATCTTAATCAAATTGTAAAGCACAGACAGAGTAATGGAAATAGAAAAAGCAACTTATTTTCATAAAATATAATAATAATCAATCAATGTGTCCAAATTTTAGAAAAAAGAGTGGAGCCATTTTGAAAATATTCAGCCCGAATTTCCTCTGATCAGCTTTTCTCTGCAAAATTTTCATGTTTACGACTGCTCTAAAATTGTCTTCAATTACAATTCAATAAGAACAAATTAAATGGAAAATGAACTTGGTACAGTATTTCATGAACTATATATTACCTGAACAACTTTCATTTGTAACATTCAAAAAAAGTTAATGTTTCATAATGTCCTCACAACGCCACCTTTATCGTCCATTGACTCACAATGAAATATGGAAAATGTGAATCGTCATCACATATTTTACAACATACAGAATAATGGAAATAAAAAAAGCATATTATTTTTATGAAATGTAACAACAATCAATCAATGTGTCCAAATTTCAGAAAAAAGAGTGGAGCCATTTTGAAAATATTCAGCCCGAATTTCCTCTGAACAGCTTTTCTCTGCAAAATTTTCATATTTACGATTTACAGTAAAATGATTCCATTTACATTTCCAGGTTATACACATATAT